ACTAGACATTGCCAGCTAATCATGTGGAAAAATTTTCACATCCGAAATGACTCTTTCGTGTCGCGAAGACGAGCCAAAGCAACCGCCTAAGTCATCGGCGCAGTCAGCTTCGAAGCTGCCGATTGTGATAATGTCTTCCGCGGTTTACATAAGCGTCACCGTCTCCGGTGTGCGAAGACCGATGTATTCTTAACTTTTACTACCTTTTCTTATGCAGCATTGGCTAGAGTACTGTCTAAGTGTGCCGACCCTTGGACCGAGGTGCATAACACGCAGAATTATGCCACCTTTAGCCACACATCTGCATTCAAACGACGTTTGTGGACAACAACGCGACCAGGAAAACACGGACTTGTTGATTGATTTTACTGATTCATGGCCAGGAAGAAACCATATGTGCCCAACATTTCGACGACCGATTCGCTCACCGTCAGGATAGAACCATCTGCGTCAGGAGGCTGTCAAGGTTCATTGGCCCACTGAAGGTGACGAACGCCATAAAAAGGGCCATCGAGGCGAACGAGATATACCTATCACGAATTGTACAATACCTGCCTGATTACTGCCGAAATAAAAATTTGCTACGGAGCCGCAGTCGGAGGCACAGAAACAGCACTTCTTCTCCAAGTACCTTGTTCATTCATGCACGGTACCAATGATGAACTTCACCTGATTCATTTAGCATATCCTACGTCCAGAAACTGAAGTCAAGGGCTTATACTCAACCAGCTTGTTTAACACAGCAAATTACCTTCCACTGAGTTCTAATTCCAATGAGAATACGTTTGAATACGTTAAGTAGACAGAGTCACTCCAAACATAGTAACAGGTTCCATGGAGATATAAACAATCAGTGCTTGCGTGATCTGACATGATAAGGTAGCACAAGTCGAAGCAGTTCAGTTTTAGGGTCATTTGGTACAAAACTGCGGCCACGAGTCTGAACACACAAATCGCAGAATACTTGAAATATCAGTCGTTAGCTCTCTGTGAGCACGTTGCGAAACTTTTGTAAAACATATTTCGCAACATTTTTATTTTATGAATTCAAGGGAGGCCATTTAAGTCAGACAATTTTGCGATGACGGTTTTCCTAATTATATGGAGCGACGTGCCGCATGTCGATCACGGCAAGACATTTGAGGAATTAATGATTGTTTTATCGAACAGGAAAGTTTACACCACAGGGATTTTGTAACGTTTTCGAAGGGGAACAGCGACGATAGAACAACGTGTTCGAATCCGCTTAAGCTGTTCAAATTGTCGTCAAATCTGCGCCGAAAGGTCAGATACATTCACTTGGTCCAATGTTTCACATGCAAATCATGGAAAGTGCTCAAAACCCAGTTTTACAGTTTAACGAAGCATTGGCGATGTGCTAACAACCGGCCCTCTACTGGTACGTAACACGATTGAACCAAGCAAATGATGAGCATAAATGGAAACAGATTTAAAAATGTGAATCATCCAGATCCACACTCGCGATCAAATTACTCAGCCTAACCGACTGCGCTAAAACCTCATATACTGGATGAGCTTTCCTGGTAAAGTCGCCATCGATCCACTGTATTCAATCATGCTTTGTGATCAAGCGTCATCGCTAATTTGTAGAAACAAATCAGTGACAACGTCAATTTCGCATGCGAAATGAAGAAGATGAGGATTCAAACTATTCGGTGGCTCCACGACCATCTTTAAATCGCCTTGCGGTCGCCTGTTTGAATTCCTTCGAAACAAGCATGGAATTAGAATATTTTTCACCTGCCATTTGGCTGATTCTAATTTCTGTAATATACGTATTTGACTGTTGAAGGCAATCTAATTCCTACGTCTTCATTAAGAACTGAAAGATTGTTTTAGACATAGATATAATGTAGCGCTCAAACTGGTTCACCCGAAGATCGTCTTTGAATCTTCTTACGGACAGTAAACCTGTTTACTTCAAAACATCCGCTAACTTTTGCTAATTTTTTGCCTGTCACTTTACAGTTTCATATTTTCTGTAACCTCCGCAAGATTAGGCACTGCTCTGAGGTACGAATGAGAAACCTGCATTTGATTACCGTTGTTCTGCTGCGGGCCAACGATGCACGGTATGCCATCGTCATTCATGCAACGTTTCCGACGTACTGACACAGTTTTGTCGGTCTGCGACGCTGTATCTAAAACATCAAATAATTTACTAAAAATTCAGAGAGCAAAACAGTTCTCAGGGTTCTAACGTTATAATAACTGCATAAGTAACTTATGAATTACGAGCAATTGTCGGCTGAAGGAACGACTAATCTGCTATCAAACTAGAGAAGACAACTGATTGCGCCATGCTGAGAAAAAGAAGAGCACAAAGAAGAGAGGAAGACCCGAAAGAAGAAACGAAACCTCCGCCTCAATATGATCGAGTCCCTACGCGAAAAAAACCTTACGCTACTCGATGATTTACAGGAAGAAAAGATCTACTAATAGTAACAGAGATGCCTGAGACCTATAGACGCAATAGCCTGTGAAACATGCAACATAAAGATATTCAATATCTATTCACCTGCAAACAATAAATCTAAGAGAGAACAAGCTCATCCAAGACATAACACAGCTATATACTCATGACCACAATAAAGTAACTCATGTACATGAGCGATGCAAATGCGGTCCTGCATTGCATAAGAATAGGGCTCAGTCAATTTCTAACCGAGTTCAGAGCATTTTTCCAAAAATCCCCTTCTAAAAATTACATATATCTGATTACCTATATTGCCCTCTGACCCAATGCAGCATTCAATCGCTTCATCCTTTACGTCGTATTGCCACTGAAGAAATAAACCTTCCATGGTCTGCGTTACCGCTTCTAAAACAACATATTTAAATTTGCTGCAAGCAGCACAACCATTATAAGGGTCTTTATGACAACTCTGAAAGAAACGCAATAAATGCATCTTTCATGATAATTGCATTCATCAGTGAATGAACGACTAATCACCATCTAAAAAATAAATAAGACAATTTATTACCGAAAAACGTTAGCGAAACGTTGAAAATAAACGCGAGACAAACAACAAAACCTCGTCACTG